GAGCGTCACACGTCCAGCCTGGCGTTCCTTCAGAAGGCTCCACACGTGGTGCCTGGAGCAGGGATCCAACCCAGCCGTCGGCTCATCTAAAAGCAACACCTGCAAAAGCAAACAAGATCAGATCTCTGCGCGTCCAAGCCAAGATTTCAAGGTTTTCATCATTTCATTTTGTGCGTTTGATGACCTCGCTCTAAGAATAAAACGCATCCTCAAATATCAGCCATTTTTATTGCTCTTTCTCCTACAACAGTATCATTACCCTTTAAATCTAACAGTTCTCACTGACCTAGGCTCCTCAATCCTTCCAGCAGCCAAACGAATCAGTAGGTCAGCAAACCTGACGTGCCACGGGAAAAGTACAAATGCCTGTGTCCCAGACCAAAATGCAAAGGTAAGTGCTAGAATAGTACACGTCGTGTGTGCGTAAATACAACTGGTCCCTACCTGGGGATTCCCTAAAATTGCAATTCCAAGAGACAATTTTCTTTTTTGTGCCCCACTCAGAGCATTGGCGCGAACGTCCTGAAGGTCGGTGAGGTCCAGCGTCGTGAGAACTTTCTGCACCTGGGCAATATGCAAAGACAAGAGCCATTTTCCATAGCACTGGTTGCCTTTTAATTCATACATGGATATGCACAGTACAGGAGGGTATAGCTTCAAGATTTAAAACTTGTCTCCTTGAAGTTGCTTTGCTTGGGGATAAACACTAGAAACCTGAATTCTAACTCTCATGACACGAGGGTGAGAAAGAAACAGTTCTCCTTTAAATTGAGGTGGTTCTCATCTCCACAGAACAAGATGCTGGTAGTGATGTTTTACGAAGAAAGCTCAAACTGCCCAAGATGCCATAAAACAGAGGTCAGTGACCGACAAGCACATACCAACCTCTTGCTCTACTTCTTTCCGTTGAATCCCCTTGATGTGAGCAAAAGTTATCAGGTTTTCCTTCACTGTTAAGGCTTCAAAATGCAAATTTAACTGGGGGCAAACCCCAATCATTGCCTGAATTCCTTCCATATCCTGTACTTCAGAAACTTTGTAGTTGTATATCGTTGCAGAACCTGCATAAGGGAAAGAATGAAACAAATTCCATACTGTGCATTATTTCCCAGCTCTAAGGGGAAAGCAGGATGCTTTGTGTTCATACCGTCAACATCATTAATTCCAGCGTTGTGGATATTTTTCAAATGTCCACACAAACAACAACAACAAAAAAAACAACCAAAAAGGCGAAATAACTTTGCGTTGTCCAAAGCTTTAATAACACTCAAAAATATTTCAGAGCACCAAATCTCTCCCTTAAGAACTACAACAGATTTTCCATAGAGATGGAAAACATCAGGCCATCCAGATGGAGAAATAACCACCTGTGTGCTCCTGCACACAAGAGCACATCCGAAGCTCGTGTTGAAGGAGCAATCTGCACTGACAACAAGCCAGACTGAAAACTTGGAGTTTTTGGCATCTTTACCCCCCGACACTTGAAAAAATAAACAGCTTCTCCGCTTCAGCGCTCAGGTCCATCATCTTACCAGCTGAAGGCTTGGAAAATCCACTGAGCACATTCAAAAGAGTAGTTTTTCCAGATCCACTGTGACCGAGTAATGCAGTGATCTGGCCTTCGTATATACTTAAGGACAAACCTAGAATAGAAATAGGCTGACATTAGGATGGAAGTTTGAGAAACAGCCTTGACCCGTGGCTTGCTGCCAAGTATGACGGAGGAATGACATTTCTTTTGAGGCTGAGGCAAAAAGCACAGATCCAAAAACCATGGGCTGATTCTGCAGAGGTTAGGATTAAACTTGTCTTCATGGAATGGAGGGAACTAATAACTTCAGCATTGAAAGAATTTTGAATTCTCTTTTCTATGAGGTTCTCAACCTTTTATTTTAGCGTGGCTCAAGAGAGAGTCCACAGGAAGAGAAGAGCCCACAGCCTTTCCAACCCCTGAGATTTCAAGAGATATTTCAAAGCAGCCAGACTTTGCTATTTCATTTCCCTTTTTTTTTGAAAAAAAAAAAAAAAGACTTATTTTGCAATCTTGTGGGTTGTTTGGGTGTTGGGTTTTTTTAACTCGACATAAACTTTTGAGACCATATTGAAATTTTCACTGTCACTTGCAGTTCTTGTTAAATAAAGGCATTTAGCAAATACCCCGTGACGATGCTCTTATCCATGTTGGCTACTTGCACACTCGCAGCCGGCAGATGCCAAGTGCGTGGAGAACACTGCTCAGCCAGTTACAAATGATCTGGCTGTCGCCAGCGACTAAAAACCCAAGTTTTGTCTGCCCCAAACAGTTTACATTTTGAAAAGGAGCTTTGAGAGGGGCTTTTTAGAGTGGTTTATCACTGCAAACCCCACAGATTTAAGGAGGCTTCTGCTGTTGTGAAAAATAACAAATAGTGTTTTTCCTGGAGTGAAAAGAAACATAACAACCTGGTAGAAATTTGCCAGTATTTTACCCCAGTAGAAATAACAATTGCATAATGTATTTTAACAGTGCTGGAGGCAGAATTAAGTACATTTCAAAACAGTTTGGGTTCTTTTCTAGTGAAAAATTAAATTTAATTAATTACAAAACCACTCTTACCACTTAAAGCTTCAGTTCTCTTGTCCTTCTTCTTGTATATTTTTTTAATACTGTTTAGTCTAAAGGAAAGGTAAGCAAGCCATTACTATTAAATGTCACAATTTTGGCCCTTTTCCTCTGCCTCAAAATAACTTTTGGAAACTATTGGGAGAATATTTCTCAACCTCCTCCTCAAGCTGGCCCTGCTCGTTACCACCTAAAGCAATCGCTTTATGTAATTCACTTTTAAAAACTCTTAAAAGCAGAATTAGCTCATGTATTTTTCTACAAGATGTTCAAAAGGCTTCAAACTCGAACTCAGTGAACTCGCAGTGAATGAAGCAGGAGGCCCTAGGGAAAGATGGTCATATAATTAAAAGCGATGTCCCAGCTATTATTTTAGCAGATTATATATTTGCTTTCTAGTTATAAGCAATGGGCAGCAGCAGCAACAGCCCAGGCAGCCCCGTGAGGAGGTAGGTAACGGTGTGTTACACAGCACAATCCTAAAGGTGATGGTGAAGGGGAAGAGCCTCGCGGCTCCAAAGAGGAAAGTGCGGGGCAGGGAGTCGATCCCTGGCGGAGAGGATGCGCCACATTCAATAAATATCTACATCCAGCTCTGTAGCAGAGTGAAACACTGGTCAACCCCTCCCTTTCACGTGTTTGCCATTAATTTTATCTGTGTTTGTCAGATGGCTCAGACTGATGTTACTGGCGCAGTCCAGCTGTGCTCTCCAGAGGATGGTCTGCAGGGGTCTTTACCTGATTGCTTCCTTCCCATCAAAGCCTGGAGGCATCGGCTCGGTGTTATGGCTGTGGGTAGGATCACCACCAGCTCGCACACCCACGTACCCACCCCTGGGCTTCAACCAGTACGACGGTCTCAGGAAGAAGGAGGGTGGGTACGGAACTCCGTACTTGCCTAATTCAGAAAGAGGGGAGGTGAAACAACAACCCAAACCTGCCATCTGTCAGCTGGACTTTGCGAAACGCTGTGTCCAGCCACGTCCTCTACAGAATATAGACTTCCCGCTGCATAAAAGGATTGGTAATTCTGCAATTGAAAGTTGCCCACTTGTCCACATCTACAAGTGCAGGTGGGGAACAATCACTGCGAAGTAAATGTTTTCTTTCCCTCACACTTGTACTTACCAGGCAGAATCTTATCAAAGTAGATGGCCAAGAGCAAATACAAGACACTATCAAGGCTCAGTATGGCGTAGAGGTTAAAGAAAGGGTTCGGTTCTGGTGTAAAGGCTGCTCCGTATTTTTCCAGTTTTATTATCTAGGGGGAGATAAAAAAAAAAGCACGTCAGATGCAAATCTTCCTTTAGCCAGAAATATTACAGCAGACCCCTGTTGTGTCATCACAATCTCTGGTTTTAGCCAGAAACCCACACCCGCTCATGATCACGATGCCGTGTCTAAGCAGAGCAAACACTTTATTATGACCAAAAGTACCAGAAGTGCTTCAGTAAACTGAATTAAAAATTGCACAGAAGTCACTGCGCCAGAAGAGTGAAGCACATGGGATTTGCCAAGGCAGCACTTCAAGACCTCACGGTCCTTGCAGATCTTGGTGCTCACCAGACACATCCCACTGCTGAGATAATTTTCCAGAGATCAAAATTTATTGTATGTACAGAGCTGGTAAAAATTCACGATACAGCTATCAGACCAACTATATTTCTTATGAAGTAGCATGTACTTTAGGGAGTCAAATTTTCTTTTCATGAAGGGTCTAGGTGTGATCGGGTTGTTCTGGCCGTGAAAAATATGTCTGGCACCTACTGCTACTTGGCAAAAGTCCACAGCACGTGAAATTTCAGCTGAGCTTTTGTGATGTGCTGGCTTTATTTTGAACATACCTTTGAGATGCCAGCTGTGAAGGCAAAAGGACTGAAGAGATTAAAAATCCAATGCAAAGATGGTGGTAGCTTTTCAAACAATGTCAAAGGGCTCAGCAACCCACTGATGGCATGAAGGAAAAACCCCACAAAACTGGCAATATTTGGCTTCTTTAATAAGGAGATGAGTACGAACCAGAAGTGAATCTGTAGCAGAGAAAACCAGCAGTTAGCAGGATGCATTTTCTGGCGATAAAAAAAAACACACCAGAAACCACAAAACCCCCATATGAATGTATTAGCCTACAAATTATAACAATAAATCCTACTACAGGAAAAGTTTTTGTTACTTTCCCATCTAGTGCTTGGACTTAGAGTACTCTGAAGTCTTCAAGCTTCAGATGTTTCAATTAGGGAACGGGAAATACTGTGCATCATTGAAGAACACAAAAACAGACTTACAGATGCTATGCCATAGAAGAAATAAGAAAAATATATTTCAAAAAATTTGCGATCATGAGTGACCCCTTCAATCGTCATCAATGCCAGCAGACTTGACATTACTGAAATGTAGATGGTGTACAGCAAGCTCCAGGATAACCTACAAATGAAGGCACAGTTATTTCTACCTCTGGATGTGACAGCACTTGCCGTGACATAGCCAGTCCAAACCATGTTATTTTTCATTCAAATCCTTCATAATTCCAAATACGCTTCCATTTAGTTTCCAGCCTGGAAAGGCACAAATACCCCTGACTCGCACTCACCCAAATCTCAGAGGCCCAGGCTCTGCAGCCAGGATCACTTACTCTTCTGCTTTCCCTAATGAAACACTCATGCTTGGGCGTCTTTGGAAGCCCGTTTTGATAAACCCGATGTCCCTCCTGTGCTCCATCCTTTGCAGCTCTCTCCAAAATGTGTTGTTTCTTTACTTTTTGTATTCCCTTGTGTATCCACCTATTTCCTGGAGGCAATGTCTCAACACCCAGAGCCTTCTCTACTACATGGCCAGTGCTCTTTCTCTTTCTTGGAGGGAGAAGAGCTAAGTGTAACAAACTACAACAGCAAAAATATCCTGGATCAGAGCAACATGCTTGGAAACGGAGGTCGCCCAGCAAGCGGTACATTACGGATGCAATTGCAAATAAAAGCAGTAAAGGTTTTGCTTCAGCAACGCGCAAAAGGCGACTTCAGCGAGGTCAGACGTGTGGTCACGCAATCACAAATGTGTCCTGCCGGGGTCTGGCGAATTCCTGGTTCTTAGATGAGCCAAGAACCCATGCAGACCCAAACCCATCCTGCAAGCCTAGTTTACATGTTGTACACATAAGAGAAATAGTTCCTGGAGTTACAGAATTTATTTCAACAAGACTTACCAGAACGCGGTGTCTTGCAAACCCATTGCTTTCATTAATACCTTGAGCTTCTTTTTCTCTCTTAGAACTCTCACCGACAAAAAGTACATGAACGGGGAGAAGCACAATTCAACAGAAATAACGAAATAAATATGATCCAGTTTAGACACAGGTTTGATCAAGGGCGATTTCAGACGGATGGCGCTAAGGGACTTCATCTCTTCCCAGACCGAATGGTTTGTTTTCATCTGAAGAAAAGGAAATAGCCGTGAATTTGAATTTCTGGACTGAAAGAGCCAACAAACAGGTTTTCGTAAGCATGAAAATTGTTAGTTTGGAGCAACAATGTTGCATTTGTAAGTGGCAAGAAACCTCGATACTTAGTATCTTTTTTTTAGTATCTTTTTTAATGGCTTTGTAATAACACCAACGCTGCCCACAGCTCCAGCAAGGATTGCTCATTCTTTTGACTCCTGGATCACACGATGATTTTAAAAACCACAGAAAATTAAAATGGTTTAGTTGGGTTTCTGTTGTTTTTCTTTGGTTGGTTTTCTAAGCTCACAGGTAACTCAGGGAAGAAGAGAAAACAGATTTTCCATCACGATCATACTCACTTCTATCACTGCTGCATCAATGCTGGACTGCACCGATAGGAAACCTGCATGCCAGTACAGAGGAGATTTGCAGTCATCTGAGGAGTAATTTAGGCAGATATCTGAGAGGAATGGAAGAAAACGAAGAATTTTATCTATAGATTTCTATATGCGTGTGTGTCTAAGTGGTCATGTATAATCTGTGCTGTCAAAAATATATATGACCTAAGAGAAATCGAGATGTAGTTTTACTCAGCCTTTTCCCCAGAGCTTAAAAGCTTTTTTCTCTGTCATTTGTCTCCTTCTAAACGAACAAGCCCTCAAATTCTAATTAATATCTTTCTTGAAATGTTTAACACATCCAGCCTTCATCCCTTCTGAGAGGCATGGCAGCACAGAGATCCATGTAAGCATTTTTTAAAGTAAAATCAAGTTCTCTGGTTTTGTTTATTTTGTTACCGATGTGTTCGAAAGCATCATCTGGAAACATCACCCTGTTGCTTTCAAATCTCAGGGAGTAGGAGAAGTCATCCTTAAAAACGACACCGATAACATCTTCCTCCAAAGATGCTCCTTCCACTTCTTCCTCATTTTCCACCTCTTCTATAATTACACCTGTCATTAAAAAAAAAAAAAAAAGGAAAAAGAAAGGTAAAAAGAATAAACCCATGACAGCTGTAAATTTGATTAACCATGCAACAACATGAAAACGTGCATCGGCTACAATAAGCATCCTCAAAAATCGTGTTGTCCAAGTGCTTTCCCTCCCAGCCCCAAGCCCACGAGGACTGTGTTGGGGTCAGCCCAGAGGATGCTGCTGTATCGAGGATTTCGGAGCCGCGTTACCCGTCAGCACAGAGTCTGAAGACACTTTTCTCATCAGTCTCCTGGTGGTGTTGGTCACCGGCGTGTAGACCAGCTTGACTCCCGTAGCATTAAAGGCTGGATCATCCAATCGCCCGAGGAAGTCAAGAGGACTTTCCTGCCACTGATAATCGGGTGACATATATGTTGTCATTATTAAGAAAAAAAACACTGACGAGACCCATTCCTAGAGGAAAAGAAGGAAAGGCAAAGGTGAGCAGCTGCCCAGTGACTTGGAGGTTGGGTGGTATCAAAGGGTCTTCAAGGACCCTTTCCAGCCAGTGCTGGTCTTGGCTGCACGGTCCAGCTCCCCCTTCTTTCTGGAAATAAGGAAGAGCTGTTTCACAGGTGTAATCGTTTTAAAATACAAGGAGTGTTCCAAGTGAAAACATGTTTTCTCAGTACCAGAGCCAGTGAGGTCTGCTAATACTTTTACACCCGTAATCACGAACTGGACGTTGTGTTCCTCTGGGCGGTGCAGAAATGGGATCAACAACCAAAAGTAACAAGCTTGGTCACAAGCCCTTATTATGCCGTGATATTGTAGTGACACAGGAGGAAGAGTAACGGCTGATGTTTTTCAGAAAACTGAGGATTCTCACGTATCACCTAGCATAAAAACAATGAAATCTAAAATCACTTTGCAGTGAAAATCCTGATTCCCCTTTGGAAGCACTGATACTTGCCTGAAAACTTTCTGTCTTCATCCGCCACACCAGGAGAATATTTTTCCACAGGAGGACACGGGTTTGCTGCAATACCTTTGAGGCTCTCTTGAACATCCCCTGCATTTTCTCACCTAGGATCAGAAAGAAAATAACACCATTTTGAAGGAAACAGATCACTATAATAAATATATTGACTTGGATAAATACCACCTCAGTGGAAACCAATACCAAGCCAAAGGTTAAGAACTTGTCTCCTTTTTATTATTTGGACAACCAAGGAGAAGTTTGAAGGAAACAGTCCAAGATCACACAAGGGAACAGAGAGCTGGGGTGGACTCATCTGCCTCTGCCACATGCAAAGATTTTTAAACCTTTTAAAATGGTTGAAATAAATAATAAAAAATAAAAATCAAAGCAACCTCAAACGCATAGTGCTCTTTTCCCCTTGGGCATCATTTCCTGATTTCATGGCTTAGGCAGCTGGAGTTAATAAATGGTTCTACTACTCTGTTCCTTTCATTGTTTGTTTTTTTTGAAGAATTAAATACTTGCGTACTCCAGGGGCAATGGATCCAGAATCCCTGTTTACCCCCTGACTCTTAGCACAAGGCTTTTCTCCTGTTAGTGCTCTGCTTTCCTGCCTGGAGCTTTCTCCTGTACGTCCCCACCGCAGCTTGCAATGAAATTAAAGGCAACTGGGAAAGGATTTTGAGGAAGTGCTGCTTTTTTCTGCACACCCCCCCCCCAGGTCTGGATTTCAGTCCTGAACTGAAAGCACCAACCCAGCCTGGGATGTTGAGGCGGTAAAACAAAGTTTCACGTTGGAGTGTTTGGATAACACAGAAAACATGACAGTCTTGTAAAAAATTGCACTGAATCTCTTCAGATATAACACACACTTCACCAAAAAAAGAAAAAAGAGAAAACGAAAACATTTTAGAAATTTTCAACTAAATTTCTGCTAGTTTTAATTCAATTTTCACCTGTGGAGCAAGAAACAAATACCACTGCAAGCTGAAACATAAAGCTAGAAATCGAAACCAGTGTTGCTGCCTAGGGATAACGCACGGTCTTCATCAGGAAGAATTTAGCTTTCAATTAGTTATCAAAAGATGCAAAAAGTAAGCTGGAGAGATGCCTCTACAAGACCTGAGACTCCAACTTACAGACTCAGAAGGCAAAAACAAGTGTTAGAAATGTATTTGGAGGCAATGGTGTTTGAGAAGCTTTAGCCCAGTGAAGAGCATCACTTGTAAAAGGGGATGTCTGTGGAAGGATTTCCCTCCCAAGGGCTCAGTAAAAGGCCCCAGATCTCTTGCTCTTCAGAAACGAGCTCCTCAGGTATTGCCAGAACTTCTAGCGGGATCCCGTGTCTTGCTCTGCTACACCAAAAGCTGTCCCAGGAAGGCTTTCCCAGGAGGTGGTTGTGCTCTCCCAGTACCTTCCTACTTGCCAGCTATTGCAACCACTGAACCCTACATCTGGCCCCTGCACATCCCTGTCTGTGCCTCTTGAGATACACGAGATGGATTTTCACCTTTCAACAGGTTTTTTTCCTACTCACAACTTGAGAAAACTAACTCTAAGCCTGTCCTGTATCAAAGTTCAACGCTTTCATTCACACAGATTAGTAAAACTGGGTGAAAGTCGTGTTTTTAGCAGCTTTTCTTGGTGCTGGCAGAGCTAGAGGAGGGGGATGAAAGGAGGGATCATTAGCTGGGAAGACCCAGGGCTCAACCCACGGCTCTTCGGCAAGAGCCAAAGCACGTCAGCAGCAAGAATCGAAATCCATGTACGCCCAGAGAAGCTGAATATTTTGGCTCCTTTGCCTCTTAAACCTTTTGATGTGGAGCTCAAAATTTTTCAGAGAGTGCTGCTGGGACGCACAGCTCCTACACATTCAGCATAACGGTTAAGTAAAATAATAAGGAAAGAAATGAATCACCAGATGCATCCCCTAAGTGAAAATTCTCCAGGTATAATTTTTCCCTTGACAAAGGAGAAATGTGAAATTCCTTACCTGATAACGTGTCTTTCACTGGAAATGTGTCTCCTACAGCTCTGAGATGTCTGAGCTCTTCATCCCTTTTTTAGTCCCGGGAGGGTCCCCCAGGGCCACCCCCTCTTCAGCCCGACGTCAGAGCCCGCGCCCGGCCACGCCATCACTCCCAAAGCTGGAAGCAACACCTACAAACCGCCCGGCTGAGAGCTTGCAGCTATTAACAAGCAATTTTGCAGTATTTAATACAACATACATGCTGCAGGCAGTGTCAGAGCATGGTTCTATCAGGCTGATGAGTAAATCCAAGCTCCTGATGGGTGGCAAAGCTCATCCCTGCCTGAGCTTCTTTGCAGGGAAAAGCTTCACCACTTCTTGCTCCGAGTCAGCCCTCACTCTGCCCTCTGCAGAGCAGAATCCTGGGTTTGAGGGTCAACAGCATTTTTATTTCTTGTTTCTCTTCTCCCTTTTAGCAATTTTTTTTTTTCCTCAGGTTCCACTCTTTTTAATTTTTTTCCCAGCAATTGCCACACAGCTGGAATCAGGACAGAGTTTGTTGGGGTTTTTTTTTGTGTGTGGGGTTTTTGTTGTGTGTTGGGTTTTTTTAAATAGCTTTCCAATAGATCTCTATTCAAAACAGGGATGTGAGGAAATCAGATAGGCCAGGAAATCCAAATGCGTTGGAAGGCTGCGCAGCCACACAATTCTATTAGAAGTATTTGACTGTCCTGCAACCCCAACAGCTTGAGGTCTCTGCATCTGATTTGCGGAGCTGACCGAAAACACACAAAAATGTCCGGTTGTTGCTCAACAAAAGGCCGTAGCTCCTCTGCAGCTGCCAGTTTACTCATTTTCCAGGAATGAACTCGTTTAGGAGAGGAGCAGAGAGTTCTCCTGCATTGATCTCCCACTGGGCAACAAGGGAAGAAGGGGGAAGGCTGCTCCTAACTGCAAAACCCACACCCCAGATAGGACTTCACTAAAACCCCACGTTTCTGACACATGCCCCGGCAGGACCCAGCGGAGCACGGACCCCTGGGAATTAGTTAATTTTACAGATCTAAAAAATAAATAAAAAAAAGAATATTAAATGAAATAAAAGGCATTCTGCCCTTAACACACCATTAAAGATGAACCAGTGTGAAACCCCAGGAACATTCACCAAGTTCAGATGAAATTCCTTCGGGGTTATTTTTCCTCCCCCCCCAGAGAGGGGTCCAAGGAGCACAACCCCCTTTCATTTTGCTAGACCCTTAACTGAGGCACAGGGCTGGAGGTGGACCTCCTCCTCCTCCTCCTCCTCGAGTCACAGCCCAGCAGCTGAGGAGCTGGCAGCATCCTTCATCCCTGTGGGCCACAGCCTCACCTTCCAAATTCAGCCAAACCTCCCATGACCAGTGCCTTGCCATCCCTTGTGCAGGGACAAGCACCTATCCAGCCACCCAACAACCAGGA